GACTTGATCAGTAATTCAGGTTCAGCTACTATTGTTACCGAATCACCCTCCATTGGTTACAACTCTTCTATTCCAAGTGAATTGATCAATGATTCAGGTTCAGCTACTATTGTTACTGAATCCTCATCTGTTGGTTACAACTCATCTACTCCAAGTGACTTGATCAGTGATTCAGGTTCAGCTACTATTGCTAACGAATCGTCATCTGTTGGTTACAACTCATCTACTCCAAGTGACTTGATCTGTGATTCAGTTTCAGCTACTATTGTTACTGAATCCTCATCTGTTGGTCACAACTCATCTACTCCAAGTGATTTGATTAGTGATTCAGTTTCAGCTACTATTGTTACCGAATCATCCTCCATTGGTTACAACTCTTCTATTCCAAGTGACTTGATCAGTGATTCAGGTTCAGCTACTATTGTGACTGAATCTTCATCTGTTGGTTACAACTCATCTACTCCAATTGACTTGATCAGTGATTCAGGTTTAGCTACTATTGTGACTGAATCTTCATCTGATGGTTACAACTATTCTATTCCAAATGACTCTGATCAGAAATTCAAGTTCAGCTACTATTGTTACCGAATCAACCTCCATTGGTTACAACTCATCTATACCTTCTGGTTCAACTAGTGGATCTTACATATACTATACTGCAGGTGAATCCTCATCTGTTGGTCTCAACTCATCTACTTCAAGTGACTTGATTAGTGATTCAGGTTCAGCTACTATTGTTACCGAATCAGCCTCCATTGGTTACAACTCTTCTACTCCAAGTGACTTGATCAGTGATTCAGGTTCAGCTACTATTGTTACTGAATCCTCATCTGTTGGTTACAACTCATCTACTCCAAGTGACTTGATCAGTGATTCAGTTTCAGCTACTATTGTTACTGAATCCTCATCTGTTGGTTACAACTCATCTACTCCAAGTGACTTGATCAGTGATTCAGTTTCAGCTACTATTGTTACTGAATCCTCATCTGTTGGTTACAACTCATCTATTCCAAGTGACTTGATCAGTGATTCAGTTTCAGCTACTATTGTTACCGAATCATCCTCCATTGGTTACAACTCTTCTACTCCAAGTGACTTGATTAATGATTCAGTTTCAGCTACTATTGTGACTGAATCTTCATCTGTTGGTTACAACTCATCTACTCCAATTGACTTGATCAGTGATTCAATTTCAGCTACTATTGCTACCGAATCATCCTCCATTGGTTACAATTCTTCTACTCCAAGTGACTTGATCAGTGATTCAGGTTCAGCTACTATTTGTTACCGAATCAGCCTTCGTTGGTTACAACTCATCTATACCTTCTGGTTCAACTAGTGGATCTTACATATACTATACTGCAGGTGAATCCTCATCTGTTGGTCTCAACTCATCTACTTCAAGTGACTTGATTAGTGATTCAGGTTCAGCTACTATTGTGACTGAATCCTTATCTGTTGGTTACAACTCATCCACTCCAAGTGACTTGATCAGTGATTCAGGTTCAGCTACTATTGTTACCGAATCAGCCTCCATTGGTTACAACTCTTCTACTCCAAGTGACTTGATCAGTGATTCAGTTTCAGCTACTATTGCTACCGAATCATCTTCCATTGGTTACAACTCTTCTACTCCAAGTGACTTGATCAGTGATTCAGTTTCAGCTACTATTGTTACTGAATCCTCATCTGTTGGTCACAACTCATCTACTTCAAGTGACTTGATTAGTGATTCAGTTTCAGTTACTATTGTTACCGAATCCTTATCTGTTTGTCACAACTCATCTACTCCAAGTGACTTGATTAGTGATCCAGTTTCGAGTACTTTCTTTTCATATTCATCATATTTTGATTATCAATCTTCCATAATTAGTGAAACGTTTATTATATCTGACGTTAGCTTGAATGAGAGTGTTTCTTTTAGTTCGTCATCGTATTCCGAAGAAAATATTTCTATTGGTGCTAAAGTTAGTTCTACAGTAAAGGAAGATTTTAGTCTATCGTATATGGTTAGTCCAACTACTACCTCAGTTGTTTCTGTTAGATCAGATGATCTTCCTATCGAGAGTTTCCTTTCTTTGTCGAACGATGACATTAGTACCAATGGGGTTGAATCATCAATTACTGAATCTATTCAAGGGCCCATTTCTTTGTTATCCCAATATCATTCATCGAAGGAGAGTAGCACCTTGAATTCAAGGAATATCGATTTAGATTCCTCTGGTTTTACAGACGATATCGATGTAGCTCCTTCTTCAAGGTTTTCAATGTATACGAACACAACTATTTCAACTACAAGAAAAAATAGTGATTATATTATGTCATCTAAAGATTATATCACCCAATCGGATAATCTGCCAACATCTATATGTTCAACGTACAGTAAATCCCAATCCAAATTATTTTCGATTAATGCTGATGCCAGATATACAATAAAATCGACTTCTGTTAAAAAATCTTCATTAACAACAGGTTATACAGTTAATGAAATTGATTCAACATTTTCAAAAGGTACAGTAATTACATCCCGTGCTACCGTGTCTGCTCCATCATCATTCACATCTTCTATTAATGAAGGTTCACCTTTGATTACTACTACTACTACCGATTCGAATGGTAAACAGACGGTCATCACATCCACTGTTTCATCTTCTTCGATGACAACCACCAGAAACGCTAGTCAATATTCAGTGAGCGATATGCATGTTAAATCATCACCTATTCCTAATAACAGTAATGCTATTATTAATAGTATTCACTCTCAAATTACTTCTACAGGTATCGATAATTCGCTCTATACGAGCAATTTAAACAGTAATCCAGAAGTTCTTAATACAAACTCTACTAATGAATCCAACGATGTCTCTACTACAGCTGCTACATCGTCTAGTGACTCCCCTTCTGTTTACGAAGGTTCAGGTATATCAAGAAAGATTTCGAATTCCTTATCAACATTAATCGGTATCTTTGTTTTAACTTTATTAATATAGGCTCTTTATTTCAATTTATGAAAAAGAACTATTCTTTTTAGTTTATATATATTATAAATAATATTACCCATTATAAATAAGCTTTTTAATATTTATCAATAATTGCAAGATTATAATTATTTCAATGTCCTTTCATTTAAGAAAGAACATATTAAATAATTTATTAATATCTAGCAAGAACTATTATATTAAATGTCTATGTATCAAATTAATGTAGAGAATCATAAGGTTGTTTCTTTACTGAATCGTTCATAGTATTAGTTAGGTTCTTTATTTATTTCCAAGGACATAGTTGTTAATGCAGATTCCATACTAAAAAGTACTGTTAGTATTAATTTATTTATCCGTTATTCTAAGCAATATATGTTTGGGACGATAATGCTTGATTATATTATATACAACTGTAGAAAGATTAATAGAGGACAGGAGTAGTTTTACTAATATTGAAAAATATTCCTTTATATAACTTAGGATTTCATCTAATTATATTAATTAAATACTAATTTGCTGGTTATGATGGTTTGTGTTGACGCAGATTCCAAACTGAGAAAGTGCTGTTGGCAGTTTCAAAGCTATTATTGTTTATATGTTGATCCATTGTTAGACTATATCTTTGGGAAGCTAATCCTTGATTATATTATATAGTATTATACAAAGATTAGATAAAGATCAGGAATAGTTTCATTAAGATAGAAACCTATCCCTTTATATAACTTAGTGTTTTCATCTAATTTCCTAATTAGATGATAACTGTGGTGTCTGAGCTAACTGTGGTGGCTCACATACCTGTGGTGGCTCACACAACTGTGGTGACTATGCTTCTTATGCTAACCATATTCCAACATTAGTAACCCAAATCCAAATATTACCTTTTCTAATCAGAATAGTGGTCCAGTCTATAACATGACATATCATGACTTGGATCTTGATTTTTATAATAGTTCCAGTCCTTATTATAAGGGAGATGGATATAAATCAGATTCACAAATAGTTAAATGGGATCAAGTATTTCTTCATTATCGTTTTACAGAATCTCATGATTTTGACATTGATCAATCCATTGAAAATATTGCACATAATTTTAACTATAAGAAAAATATTACCGGTGAGCCAGCATTTCCTATTACGTTTGTGGGTTCCTGGAGTAGTGCATTAACTGATTGCACACCTTGGATACATGGTATTGGTTATGGATCATGGTACGATGACACATACGATGAAGATACAAATTATGAAGTCAAAAATGAATACGATGATATTGACTATGAAAACTATGAAAACTATACCTGTGTTTCTCAAAATCAAATTGAGGAATGGCCTGAAGAATACAAAATTCAAGTAAGAAAGTTTATTGAAACTCAGTTATCGCATTACAGTACTTATACTAAGGGATGGTTCTTCTGGAACTGGAAAACTGAAAGTGCATCTGAATGGGATTACCAAAAATTGAGGGACCACGATTTGTTTCCACATCCATTTGACAATTTTACGTATTATGAAGCGAATGGTGAATTGAAGTTGGCTGATTCCGATAATGAAAGTTCTATATCCTCTGTTGAAACGTCGTTAGGTACCTCTTCGAGCAGTCGTATTAGTACCGTAAGTTCAGACATGGCCCCAACTTCCAAATCATCAAGCAAGAGTCAGAGTTCAAGTGTTTCCATGCGTGGTGGTAAAACTAGCTCAACCAGCTCGACTCATGTCAGTCAAAGCAGCTACACCAGTTCAACTCATTCCAACAGCACAAGTGCTTCGCACAAAAACGGGTCGTATACCGTTAAGAGTCCTAGTATTTTTGCTTCAATATTTTCTTGGAGTTTAATGATGATATGTTTTACTTGCGGTATTATGTTGTTTGTCTAAATAATCAGAGTTATCGACGCAGGATTGTAATATTATATACTTTTATGCACACGATATCAATAAATATGTAAAATTAGCGGAATTGAAACTGGAACTGTTGAGAGAAGGTTTGCAGAAGCAGCGAGACAGAATTGAGTTGCAATCAGATATGCCTCGCATCCCATATTGTTATAGATTTATTGGAAACTTATGATAAGTAGCAATATTATTGACACAGAAGGATATAAATTCGATTATCGCACTTATTTTGGGCTTACTTAGAAACTGAGTAACAGTGATCGAACATAATAGATCTAAATTATTGTTCAGATCCTATTTGTTGTACCTCAACTATACAATTCATAATCGAATTTTTTCTCTTAAAATATCAATATCATCACAGAATCCCATTTATACCAACTCTAGTCATGTTCCATCATGATTTTGTTTAATTCGCTATACTATTAATGGTGTTTTAATTGGCACTCTCATATGGAATGTTGCAATTGTGTAATTGCATAGGTACAATGGGATTAAATCTATTTGTAGTTTAATGTATATATCATACAGTATATACTTCTGACAGACATATTACCATAAACATATTTCAGTTTACTCTTCAACTGTATAAGCTAACTTGTGTATTTGAAATGAAATATTGAGATAGAAAGAGAAAATATGAGGGAGGAAGAGAGGACAGGAAAAGAAAAAGAAGTGGACCAGGTTATATTTATGAGTGAGTGTCTAAGTTAGAGTTACAATTTTTTCAAGTGAATTCCTTGTGGCAGAAATAGACATATTGGCAGCGGGATCCTGGGATGCTAGGAAGACATTGGATTGATATTGAAGATTTAGCATTCAAGAAAAACAGATACCCTTTCAAACGTTACAGTTTAAATATCTGCTATATATTGAACAGTTCCAAGTTATTAGATTAAGTGTGTGTTAACATATATCAATGTTACAATTACTTCTAAACAATTGTTTTATTTTAGAAAAATGTCGAAAACCTAAATTCGAATTGCATCACCAATGAGATATTATTGAGAACCGAGAATGTTTTTAATGTCTGTTAATGTATTTTATAGTACCAAATCCCCTTTTGACTCATAAATGAAATACTAGTTCTAATTAAATAGATCAAGTAGTCTCTACTTCCTTGCCAAGTTAGTGTTGAAATAATATTCGTATTCTATTTTAGATTTGAAATATTTATTTTATCTTACTACTATTGATTATAATGGTATACTAATTTATGTGATTTTGATTCGAGCCAATTATTTTGTTACCAAATAGTCGATACAATAAAACAAAACTATGATTTATTTTGGATAAAAATGGAATTGGAAAAAATAATAAATGTAGCAAAATATGTTAATTTACGGAATATCAGATATTTAGAGGGAGAACTTGGTTGGGAAGATAAGATTGTTAAATTCCACATTGTATTATAATTTAGGTAGAGATATTGTGTGTATGGATTATTTGATTATGAATATTTCGTGTAGTATATTAGACTATATACTAATATTTGGTGATATGATGACGGACATTACAATAATGGATTTGATTGGGGGATACCAGTTCTTCTAGAATATGAAATATCAACTTGTGAATCCAATGTTGTTCAAATAGCTAATATATTGGCCAGTCAAATAAATATAATGAATATGGTAAATAAAACCTATTTCTTTGTTATAGACAATAAATATTAAACCATTATGTAATAGATCTATATAATGATTATTAATAATACGAATATTAAACATATGACAGTGATATAACCTATTGAACTTATTTCAAGAAACAATGGCTTGTTGGAACGTATACCGTTAGTTGGTATTGAATTTTGTGTATTGGGATATGTTCAGTATTAGAAATATGACCAGCAAACCAGCAGGATGGAATAGGCAGCAACTAATTAGAATAATTATATGAAATGTTTAAGCTATATAAAGTGATAATTATTTATCTTAATAAAACTATTACTACTAAGATATATTTAATATTACAGCTCATTTGGTATTGAAATGAGCAGTGGGCGAAACATCTTTTACAATACCAATCATATTATTAAATGTTTATTAAGTTCGTAATATTTAAATATAAAATATGTCAAAGTGAAGTATTAATACACCAGAATATGAATATCATGTAGCTATAGTATTCATTCAAATTGGAGAGTTGTATATAAAGTAATAATGTACCCCTTCTTAAAACTATAATAGTGACTAAATTGGTGGTTGGTATCCTTTTGCTTTGGCATGTCTTAGAAAACGTTAATGTCACTTAAATCACTTTTATTTAAGTAAATATAGATTACAAATTGAATCAAGAATTTTACTGTAGAGAATCTGCGCAGGCCTTATTATGCTGTCTATCTGTGATGTATTGTTTGGTCGGTATTTGGTAAGTTTTAATTATTATATAGTTGTATAGTTAATTAGGTGTACATTAGAATAAAGTCTGTTATTCATGTATTCTAGAGAAACTTAATGTGGAGATCTGTATTAGAGAGTAAATATACTACTAATTAATAATGTTACTGATGTTTTCTTTATATGCAAGTTAGCATACTAAATAATATACAATAATATACAATAATATACAATAATATACAATAATATACAATAATATACAATAATATACAATAATATACAATAATATACAATAATATACAATAATATACAATAATATACAATAATATACAATAATATACAATAATATACAATAATAACTCTTTATAGCAATAAATGTAACTGAAGCTAGTTTTGGCAATTGTTATTCTAATTATTCCATTGAATCGCAGTAACCTTACTATTTAGGTATAACTGCACCTCTATTAAAAACAAGGTGATATAATTTATTACATTCTTATGTGATAAGGATTTTGTATTGATTACGCTTAAGTACAAAGGGATAAAAATATTTATATATTTAATATTACTATATAGTTATTATATTAGTTTTATAACCTCATAGAGTTTATAACTAATAACCTTAAGTAATTATATCTAAGGCTTCTTTCCCTATATAAATACATTAATACATTAATATTTAATATTCCGGACAAAAAAGTTCAAAATGATGAGATTTATGTTTTGTTAGTTTTATATTTAGTGCTATAAATATTATTTATTATCAGTTGGATAAAGATGAAACTCATATAAGAAAAAATATTACAAAATATAAAATTGTATTTTGAACTAAAAATTGTAAAATTATTTATATTAATATATAAGAAAGAGAAGAGTTATAATAAAATAAGTTGAATTATACAAGTTAATTTAATGACAGACAACCATTAACAAGTATTAATGACTAGCTAAGAAAGAAGCAAGTTGACATATTGAAAGTATATCAAATAAACTAGTTCTGTGACAGAAAAATGGATATGTGGATGGCAGTGATTGAAATTAATTTCTGTTAGAGGGATCTTAAAGTGTTATGAGGTGGGAATATATATAATTTAGTGTGTTTTAAATTGTGTATGATAAAAATATAAGGTAGTTTAATATCCAGGTGTCGAGATAGATACAACAGTATAATGATAGATACAACAGTATAATGATAGATTAGTTATTATAACTTGTAGTAGTACCAATATTAGAATGTGAGTAGGAAGATTGGGATAATTATTTGTGTCGATTCAGATTATTGGGATAATTGATTGTGTTCATTTAGATTATTGAAATAAAATAAGATAGTTAATTATTATTAGGGTGGGATATATGAGTTTAAGGCAAATGTGAATATTAGATTGTGACAGTGGGGATAAGAGGAGATAGAGTTGAGATGGTAAAAAATTACAACCAGATATGAATTTACAAGAATCGAATTATGTAAATTAGATTTTAAGTTGAGCAATTAGAGTTACTATTACATTTTTAATTTCATCTATATCCCATAGTTAAGGCGAGATTTTTATATTTTGGGCAGAATTGCATACTATGGGAAGATATTTTATTTTGCTCTTAAGGCTGGATAGAGTAAATATGCGTAGGGAAGTATTAGATAGTATTTTTCTCGGTTTGGTATTATTTTTTAGAATTGATCTGGGTTGGGCGACATGGATGAGAGTTGGTTATGGTTTTTAGGAAACGTGATATGGAACAGATTTTCGCGGGTCGGTGTTGTTTGTTAGAAAACGTGACATGGAAACAGGTTTTTCCGGGTCGGTCTTGTTTTTCAGGAAAGGTATTTAGTGCGCGACGGTGTATATAATAAGGATGGTTAAAAAGGATAATGTTTAAGATAGTGGTAGTTAAAGTGATGGTAATAAAAGTGATGGTTGTAGTTATGTTGCGGTAATGAAATTTGACCACAAAGGTAAAGTGAACATGGAGATTAAGATTATTGAATAAAATATATTCTTAACAATAAAAGTTGGTCTAATTCATTAAACAGATGGTTAGACACAATAATCATTAGTGACAGTATTATAAAAGATGAACCAGTTGAGATGGTGAAAATCTAAGACCAGATATGAAATCACAAGCATTGAATTATTAATATCAGATATTAGCTTCAACAATTGGAGTGACTTTAGATGCTAATTGATAGGGCCTTAACAGCTGAGGTAAGGTCGTATAAAGTGATCAGATTGTTGAATAAATATATTAATGTTACGCTACCATATTTGAAATTGATTTTCTGCATGTGGTTCTAAGAATATACGTTTGTGCGTTTATTTCTCAATGATATATTCAGTGTATGAATTCGTGTTACGTGATGCCTTCCTTGGTTATATGAAAATGTGTGGCCGGTTTGAAAGGTTGGTTTATAGGGGTGATTTATAGGGGTGATTTATAGGTGTGATTTATAGGGATGGTTTGTAAGGTTGGTTTGTAAGGTTGGTTTATAGGTTTGGTTTATAGGGTTGGTTTATAGGGGTGATTTATAGGGTTGGTGTAGAGGAATGGTTTATAGGGATGGTTTATAGGTGTTATTTATAGGGTTGGTGTAGAGGTGTGGTGTAGAGGTGTGGTGTAGAGGTGTGGTGTAGAGGTGTGGTGTAGAGG